CCTTGACAGTTTTACCTGGAAAGACAATCTCAGTGAGGGGTTGTCAAGATCAGGCTGGACTGTGGGCCTGTCTCTGGGAGACGGTCTTTGTTGTGTTCATTGACATGGGTTTGGGTCCTGAACTATGCAAAAGTGAGGGTGGTAACTGAGACTTACGCAGTTCTATTCCCACTCTTGGTGGATGTCATGTGACCAGCTGCTTTTAGGGCCAGCCACCTCGACTTCCCTGCAGTGATGGATTATAACCCAGAGCTGTAAGTCAAACAAACCCTTCTCCATGTTGCTTTTGTCAGGGTACTTTATCACAGCAGCCTAGACCACCAAGGGCCCCACGAGAGTGGTAGTGTGCAAGCTTGGGCCTGGGATGGAATGGGATGGGATGAGGGCTCAGGTCCAGTCCTCAGCTTCCAGCTTATCTTCCTTCATGTCCTTGAGTCTCTGACCTTGGACATTTGTCAAGGACAGGCTCTCTCCTAGCCCCATCCCTCTTTAAATGCCAAACCTGAGCCTTGCCCTCCTTATCTCCCTCTGCCCCTCCTTCAAGGCAGGCTTACCATCCAGGGACATGGATTGGCAAGCTGAGAGGTGATCCCTGCCGTGCCCACCACGGTGCTTCTGAGACCTTCTTCAGCCTTGCCTTCAGGGCAGAGTAGGACCTGGCAACTAGTATTAGGGTGACATCTACTGGTCAGCTCTAGAATTGAGGTGTTCTAGCCCAAACTGGCAACTAGGATTTATAATCTAGGTTTTTCAAGGTGCAGAGGCTCTGGAAACTATACTTTGGGGTCTTGGTTCCTCCCCAGAAGCACCGAATCAGGTCAAGGCATTTCTAACAAGTCCATGGGCAATCCGATGCTGCAAGTCTGAGAGCCCCAGTGGCACAGAGCCCATCTCTGCAGAGATGTAAATATTTATGGGGAGAAGGAGGCGTGGGTCAGAACACCCAGAGTGTGGCAAGGGAGCACATAGACAGCGTCCTGCTTCTGGGACTCGGGGTTCAGTAGGAAGGTCTGCTGGTGTGTGTTGCCAGTGACGTTCCCCTAACGGGTGATGTCACAGTTCTGTCAGACAGTTCCCACCTGAGGTTTGGCAGTGTTGGTCCTGAGCTCCACAGAAAGTGTAAGTTTGGGGCCCAGTCATTGAAATTTGTACTCTGTGGACCATACCCAGACACCCAGAGCCAGGCTGAACCACTGTGGAGTGTGAACTCTCAAGGTAGGACTGTAGTCCCCTCATGGCTTTCAGAAACGGCTTGTGGAGGAACAAGCAACAAGGGGCTCCCTAACAGTACAATCAAGATTCAAGGGGCCTCTGTGTCAGTCAAAAAGGTGTGTGTTTATCTAGGTTAGGGGATGTCTGACTGTTGTCAAGGTTACAGGCATCTGATGCGCAGGTGTTATTAGTAGGTAGCTGTTTTATTTGTTTACTGAAGACTCAGGAAGGCAGGTGTCCCTTTGATAACACATTGCAGACAGACCAGTGGCCATCACCTCTTCAAGTCTCTAAACTGTCAGACTCGCTGGCGTCTACCAAAAAGTCCGCCTTAGAAGCCCCTGCAGTCTCAAGTGGAATCACCACTGTGCAGGAGCTGCAATGGGGCCAAGCTTCCCATGGCCTCATGATACAGCATGGGAGCCTCAGGCGGACTCAGCCACACTCTGGGCAGCCACTCTGTTGGCCCCTGTTTTAGAGATGCTTCTATGTCCTGGTGACCACCTTGTGGTCCCTGCTCTCAGATCCCACGGTGGATCACTTCACAGTAAGAAACTCAAGGACTCAGAGAGAGTGGAGAAGTCTATTTTTTATTTTTTATAACTTTCTTCTTATTCTTTGTGTCTTTCACATCACGCATCGTCATCCGTTCACTTCCTGCCCCTTCCTATCCACCCTCTGCTCTTGCAACCTCTCCCCGCAAAATAAAGTAAAATTTAAGAGAAAAAAAAGGAAAAGTTAATCTCGTCATGGAAGCTGTGATGCGTGTGACACAATGAGTCACGCAGTAAACCCTTGGTCTGAAGCCTCTGGTTTCTGTTACACTCTCGATGCTGGGCGCTCACGGGAACTCCTCTTGGTTATCCTGCTGTTGCCGTGTCATGGAGGTCCTGCAGTTTTGGGTCTGCTGGACCGGTCCCTTCCCGTGCTCCAGCAGACCAAAGATGGGGTGGATGTTGGGGTGGATTAACTCATAATTCTGGTTTGGGGCCTAGGTAGTTGCAGGGTTGGTCAGCCTGCCAGCTTTCCCTTGTCCTCACCACCAGGGTGCGCTCTCCTGTATTGCCCTAGCTAATTCACCACTGGTGATCATGAGCAAGAGGCAGGGCAAGCTCTTCTGCTTTCAGTTTCTCAGGGTCGGCTCTCTCCCACACTTACAGCTCTACTGTGACTGTGTGCTCAGGCATGGTGTAGAGGCTGCTCTCCCGAGTGCTGCAGCTGGTGAGGGGCAGGGACAGCTCTCCTGCTCTTATGACCTCAGGGCCAGCTCGCCCACCTGCCTCAGGAGTTGATGGACAGGGGATTGGGGTGGTGGAGGGCATCTCTCCCCGCCCATGCCACCACATGACAGATGAGTAATGAGGACAGCTTTCGCAGGCTCATTAACTTCCGTGCTAGCTCACCCACACCTCCACCAATAGAAATGGCTTTATTGTGCTGCCCAGGAGAGCTGCAGGGTCCACTTTCCTGAGTGCCGCAGCTGGTAAGGGGGAGAATTAGCTCCTTCACTCACCACAGGTGGCAGGGTCAGGTAGGGGGAACATCTTTCCCTCGTCCTCACCACCCATGGCAGACAAGGGGCAGGAGGGATGTGGCCGGCTACCCCACTCTGACACCCTCAGGGCAACTAGGCCAGCAGAGTCAGCTCTACTGTGCAGCCCAGGGAAAGGGTCTGCTTTCCTGAGAGCTGCAGTTGGTAAGCGGGAGGGATAGCTCCTTTATCTGTGGCAGGCAGTGGGGGGAGGGGTAAGAAGTCTCCCCACACACACACACCCGACCCACATAAGAAACAAGATACAGCATAGAGCAGTTTTTTTTTTTTTTTTATCTTTGCACATTTGGGTATCAGCGTAGAGAAAAGGTACAAAAAGCTGGTGTGCTGCTGTTAGCACAAAATGGTTTTAAATTCCTAATCGCGCTTTTCTGCACCCTAAATTCCCCACTGGCTGAGTTTTTCAGGGAGTCACAGTCACCATCCTGTTGGTTCAGGACACAGAGTTTTTAGCTAAATTAAGTCCTGGGACTCAAGATTCTCCCCTTTTTTATCCGTGGATCCAGTCACACATCTCACAGTGAAACTGGACCGGAATGATTTGTGTCTTACAGCCTGGGGTTGCCTTCCTTTATGTATCTTCTTATGTATTCCGTTTTCAGTCCCCAGTGCTCCCACTCACTCATTCCAAGACCTCATGCTGACCTTAATGTTGACCTTTACGGCCTGATCTAGTCAACCTTGGCTGCAGTTCCTGCCTCTAAAGTGAGACCTGATGAAACAGACCTCACAGCAATCCCATGAAGACCACATCCCCGGAAGGACTGGGGCTCCTTGTGCAGTGTGCACTGTCCCTCCCAGCCCCTGTGCCACCTAACTCTGCTCCTTCCTGTCCTCTTGGGGCTGGGGTGGGGCTTCATGTGACTTGTGTCTATTAATATACACCCCCACATCCTCTGATTGCCAGGGAGACCCAGCAGACAACTCCTAAGTTCAGTCACTAGTATTTGGATGTCCCAAATCTATATGTTAATGGTATTTGGAGGCTTTGCAAGGTGACTGGGGTTAAATGAAGTCATAAGAATAGGACCTCTTGGTGGCATTAATGACTTTTTAAGAGGAAGAGATGCAAACTTGCATGTTGCTGTCTCCGCCCACAATGTTCTGCACTGTGTTTTAATGAGGCACAAGACCGTCATAGAGGCTGGTGTCATGTTCCTGAACCTGTGAGCTAAATAAACCCCTGTTGTTTATAAATTACCAGGTATCAGATATTTTGTTATAGCAATGGAAAATGTATTAAAAACTTGCAATGAGTGACAAGCTAAAAATGGTATCTGCTTTACCAGAAGGTCCCAAGTGAGGGTGATGACCCCTACTTTAGGATGCAGGCAGCAGGGTGATGGACAAACCACACTTTGTGGCATTGGGAGCTGGGGATGCCTATTATGCAGCATCACTGGGTTATCCTGACCAAAACACAGGAAGAACCAGCACCTGCTCCTATTACACCCCAATTCTGAAACCTGAATTACCACCATGAGACCAAAAACAAAGAGCCTTGTTTCACAAGTTGACTTGGGTCCCTCTATCCAAGCGGCGGCAGCTTCAGTAGCAGTAATGACCATCACAGCAGCAACAGGAACAGGGCAGGAGAGGCCCAGCGCAGCAGAAAACAGGGGTTTATAGAGGTGCAAAGGCTTGGGGAATTCCAAGCCTCAGGGCTTGTGATTGGCTGCCCCCTGGTGGCGTGAAGGGGAATTCTAGACTTCCAGACTTGGGATTGGCTGCCCTGTGATGAAGTAAGGGGCCTTTCCAGGCCTGAGGGTAATACCCATCTGCCAGTCACTGCCTGAGGCTCTGATTGGTCTGTTTTCCCTGCTCAGGGATTGGCTGGTTTTGAGTCAAGGGCAAGAATGGCTCTGTTTCTGGGACCAAACTGTGCTTTGTTTTGTTTTGTTTTGTTTTGTTTTGTTTTCTGGTTCTTTCTACGTTTTTAACTCCAATTTGGGGGCCAAGGCAAATATCTTTGGTATGTCCTGAATCTAGGGACTTAGTGTGTTCTTTTGGTCCTAGTTTAGGGTCTGGGGGGGCTTTTCTCTGGCTCTAGGTTTGGAGACAAAATGTTTCTTCCCCTGGCTCTGGTCCTGTTTTCAGGTTGTTTATTTCCCTGGGTCAAGGCTTGGAGCCCAGCCATTCAGGGCCTGTGTGGGTGCTGCCGATCAGAGGTTTTTCTGGTGCTTGGGTCTCTCACTGCAGTGGGATTCTACAGGAGCCACCCAGGCACCAGGCAGAGTCAGCCCTGTTGCATGCTTTTATTGTCTTCCAGGAGAAAGGGGGCCTTGCTGTAAGCTTGTTCTAACTGTGGTCCGCTCAGGAAGGCCGAGGCTCAGCCTGGGCATGGTGATGTTGGTCCAGATGATTCAACCTGAAAGCCACTGGTCAGAGGTTTCTTCTACACATGATGGAAGGGCCAATTTCCCTATACTCATGACTTGTGACCCACATGTTCTTGAACATAGGGAGAGAGCACAAGATGGAGGCACCTACCCAGGCACCATACTTGGCATATGGAGAGGTGGCCACCTAGAGGGAGAAGAAGGAAATCCACATCCAACACCTCTCTAGACTGATCAGAACGCGATTCAGTAAACACACCTGCCCTAAGACTGACAATTTCAGTTCAATCCCTGGGACCTGCATGGTAGAAAACAGATTCCTTCGAGGGCACTCGGACCTCCACAAATGAGCTGTAGCATGTGCGCACACATATATGCACACACACGCACGCACACATAATAAATAAGGATAAAAAAACTACTCTTGGGCCTGGAGGATGGTTCAGTGGATAAAGATCATCCCACCAAGTCTGTACCTTGTTTCAGATCCTGGGATCCACACACTAGGAGAAAAAAAATGGCTTCCACCGGTAGTTCTCTGACCTCAGCAAACACTCTGTGACATGTGCGCACACAGAGACACAAGGAGACAATAAGAGCAATTAAAACTTCCTGTTTAGAAAACATTCCCTCGGAGGCTAGAACAATGGCTGAGTGGTTAAAAGCACCTGCCGCTTTTCCAGAGGCCCTGGTTCGGTTCCCAGCACCCACATGGCAACTCACAACCGTCTCCAACTCCAGGTCCAGGGATCCGACACCCTTTCCTGGCCTCCATGGGCATTGCATGCACACGGTGCACATACACACATGAAGGCAGACACTCCTACACATAAAATAAAAACAAACCTTTTAAAAAGATAGTCACCGAAAAAAAATTAACTGCTCTGATTGGGACCCATAATGTCCACAACTGGAAGAATCTTGTGGCAGTCCTCTCTCCCCAGTGAAAAGACAATTTTTTAATTGGGAGGTGTTGAAGTTTTGGTGGCACACCTTGCGATCCCAGCACTCAGGTGGCAGAGGCAGGAGGATCTAGAACAGGCTGGTCTACACAGCAAGTTCCAGGCCAGCCAGGACTGCACGGTGAGATCTGTTCCAGAAGAAAGACTGGGGGGATGGACTCAGGCATGAGAACCTGAGTTCAGATCTTCAGAACCCATGTATAGCGTGGACAAGGCCTCTGTGTCCTCATGCATACACACATGAATTCATATAAAAGACAAAAGGAAGCTACATGTTCTTCCTGGCTTCCTAGAGCGCCCCCAACCCCTCTGGAGTATCCACTCTGATGCCACCTTCTGAGAGATGACCTGTGTTCCACACCCCAGCCCTGTCACTCTCCACCCTACAGACTACAGCCCCTCCCCATCTGCCCCTCCTGCTGTACTAGCTTAGCTTGTTGTCATTGGCCCCCTACACACACAAGGATGCAAATCTAGGTTTTGCTATTGGTGCATCCTCAAATAGAGAGAACAGAACCTGGAGACTCTAGAACTGCGCATGGGTCAATCCCTGAGGCTGCTGGTGAGGTTTGGGCCAGTACCTTCACACACACGTCTGGAGAGACCAGCTTTGATATCTCTCTCTGCAGTCGGAGTCGTAGACCTGAGAAGGCACCAGTGCCACCAGACAGCATGATATGACCAAAAAGAGTCTTCCAGTGGGAGTGGTCGCAGGACGTGATGCTCTGCTGGGCCTGCATGTGAATGCCCGGGTTGTTTCTCCCTGGTGGACAATGCACAAGAGGGCTTTGGGATCAAAGGTTCCCATTTTTAGTATTGTGGGGAGGGATACTTCCCAGGTTCTGGATGGCTCCAAGTGCCACTGAGCACCTCAAGGACTTCAAGCAGGTCACAAACCTGGCCTGCCAGCATCATCATTGATAAGAGTTGACATCCCGTGCCTCAGATGAGGCTGGCATCACCTGTTTTGTGGGTGTCTGTGGGGCAGTGTCCCAACTCAGTTAGCCTTGGAAAGTGCCACCAAGTAATTGCTTTTACTTGTCATTTGTTGCAAAACCAAGTAACTAACACCAGCCTTGAATGATGGATGTGAAGAACTATCACAGTGGAGTGGCTCCGGTGTGCCTGGAAGAAGGCTCTGCTGCCATCAGGAGCCTGAGGCTGCATTCTGCCCTGGGACCCACCTGGCCTCTGTGGAGTACTTTAATGACTTCCCCACACTGGCATGTACTATGCCTTTCAGACTGTGTGCTCTACCATGCCTACAATCCCACATCTTGAGAAACCGAGGCAGGAGGGTTGCCGCACGTTTCAGACAAGCCTGGGCTACATAATGAGTTCTAGACTAGCCTGGACTACAGAGCAAAAAAAAATCTGTCTCAAAAAGCAAAAGCAGAGAAAGGCTGCATGTTTGCACTGTATGGCGGGGAAGAGAGAGCTAAGCTCTGCCGGTTACAGTGTGTGTCCTGTGGGGAAGGGGCAGATGAACTTAAGCCTTTATCTTAAGAAATGTTGACTTTCCATGTTGTCCCTGAACTCTCATTTTCCCTTTCCATGGAGATTTCATAGTCCATCACTTTCCTGTTTGTAGAAACTGACTCACTGTATGGCCCAGGCTGACTATGAACTCATGGCCATCTTCCTGCTTCTGCATCCCAGTGCTAGGTGACAAGTGTGTACCATGAGAGAGAAGGTGATACTGAGAGTTAATACTGAAGGACCTAGAACCCCCATGGAGACAGGCATCTGGGTGGGTCTGAGGGAGTTTCTAGATTGGGTTAACTGAGGTGGGAAGACCCACTCTGAATGTGGGCGGCACCATCCCATAGGCTGGGGTCCTGTGTGATAGAAAGAAGAAAGAGAGCTGAGCACCAGTGTTCTCTAAGTGGAGATTGCACACTGGTTTCCCGGACACTCTGACCTGAATAATCACACAAAAACTATAATTACAACACTGTTTGGACAATGGCTCAGGCATATTCCTAGTTAGCTCTTACATCTTAAATAACCCATTTCTATGAAACCACGTGTCACCACGATGCTGTGGCCTACAGGTAAGTTTCCAGCATCTTTCTCCTTTGGCAGCTACATGGCATCTCTTTGATTCCACCTACTTTCTCTCTATATCTCTGTTCAGATTTCCCGTCTGGCTTTATTCTGCCCTGCTAAAGGCCAAAGCGGCTTCTTTATTGACCAATGGTAATGGCATACAGAGGGGAATCCCACATCAATGTTCCTCTTTCTACATCCTGTCTGTAGATGTAGTGTGACCAGCTGCTTCATGCTCCTGATAGACAGTAACCTTGAACTGTAGGAGTCAAAATTCTTTTCTTAAGCTGCTTTTGCCAGGAATATTTTTCACAGCAGCGAGAAAACCAACTTACACAGTAGTCAACCCAACACTCATTAAAAATCCTCTGGAGCCAGGTGGTGGTGGTGCACACCTTTAATCCCAGCACTCGGAAGACAGAGGCAGGTGGATCTCTGTGAGTTCCAGGCCAGCCTGGTCTACAGTGTGAATCTCAGAACAGCCAGGGCTACACAGTCTATGAATCATCATCATCATCATCATCATCATCATCATCATCATCATCAAAAACCCTCTGGCATTTAGATGTTTACAGCTCTCACAAACTGCGATTGCTTCTGCCTCTGCCTCCACTGTCTTCACCGTTCCGTTTCAAAGTTATAAGTAGCACGCTGCTGAAGAGAGTGGCTCTCTGCTGCTCTCCGGCTCATCTGCGATTGGGCTAGGAACTCTGGGTGGAGTCGAAGGGTCAGCAGAGTGACAGAAGCATAGGAGGCAGCTGAGTGAGTGGCAGCCAGGACCAGGGAAGCTTTCCAGCAGGAAGCATATTGCTCCTGAAGCAGAGTGTTCCGCCACCACCCTTCCCACGCCTTTCTTCCCTCGGCATTCTGTGTGAGTGTCCACTGGCCCGCTGCCCCCGATCCTGGACTCACCGATGAGGCTGGTGTTGAAGAGCGCCTCTGAGCACGTGAGTGCCTCCTGATCCAGGTTGACTTCCTTGCCATCGGGCAACTGGAATTTCTTCTGTTGGGAGGGTACTATGTTTTTTGACACTTCCAAGTCATAGTCCAGGGCCACATAGCAGTGTTTCTCTTTCAGGTCTCGGATGTACTCACGGTCGGCTGCAGGGTAAGGAGGACATATAGAGCACTACTCATGAGAGTGGGCATAGGAGGGTGGACTCACTCCTAGACGGCCACTGTGTTCATGCAACCCTGTGAGCAGGGTCTTGGCCAGGCTGTGGGCCAGGCTTTAAAGGGGCAGGCATGAGGAAGTAACCTTCCCTTCACAGGAGGCACTGAGCTGGGTCTCTTCAGCTACCATGTATGGTGTTTGTGGGGCCTAGAAAATCCAATTCACAGTTATTACCTGGGCATTTTGGACACCACCACCCTTCACACCTGCTGGGCATCTGGAGGGCTGGCCGTGACCGGTGAGGCCGCTTGCCTGGAAGACCTGGCAATGGATGCCCCTTTCCTTCCTAGGTTTCTGACAACAGGTTTGAAGCCCAGATATGCCTTTTGATTAGGCTTTTGTGTGTTATCTGCCATTGTCCTTGAGCTTTGACTAAAAGGGACTTCCCTCACTGCTTACCCAGAGAGCTCACCTGGTCTTCGGCTTGCAGACTGCCAGCTGCTGCTTCCGCCGGAATCACCCTCCACCATCTCCTTCTCCTCCAACTCTTCCTCCATCTCTTCCTCCAACTCACCCATCATCTTCCTCCTCTACTTCATCTTCTTCAGCTCCCCTTCCTCTTCCAACCCTCCTCCATCTTCTCCAAGTCTTCCAGCTCCTCCCTTTCTCCCTCCAGCTTCTCCGTGGTCTCCTCCTCTAACTCCTGCTCCAACTCTTCCTCCCCTCCTGATTTCATTCCTCCTTATTCCTTCTCCTCCTCCCTCCTCTTCCTCTTGCTCTTCTTCCCCTCCCCCCTTCTCCCTCCTCCTTTCATTCCAATTGTCCACTCCTCCTCTCCACTTCCTCCTTCTTCCTCTTCTTCTGAAACTGAATCTCATGGAGCCCAGGCTATCCTCTAACATACTTGTAGCCGAAGATGTCCTTAAACTCCTAATCCTCCTGTCTCTGCCTCCCAGCGCTATGATTACACGTGTGTGCTGCCACTCCTGGCCTAAGCCAGCCTCCTTGCCCATGTCTCCTCCACCCTCCTTCCAGAGCCTGGAGGCCCCTCTGCTCCTCCCCTCCAGCAAATGGTGCTGTCTGCTGCTCCCTTCTCTGTCCCTGGCTTCTGGGCTCTGCTGCATCCCAATGTTTCCCTCCTTTGCCTGATCTAGGTTTGGGTGAGACAACTGAGACAATTCTGGATCACATCCCACCTCTGTCATTTACTTGACTAGCTAATTAATTATACTTAGGCAAATTAATTATTCTTTTTTATTTTGTCTTTTTGTGTTTTTTCCTTTTATTTTTTTTTATTTTGTTGTCCTTTTTAAACTTCCACTCCCTTCATCTGCAAGGATGAGTATAATTCGCATGGAGTATGCTGGCAGGGCAGATGGACGGTGTACACATGGATCTTGCTAAGAGTGGGCAGCAGAAACATGGAAGGATTCCGGCCTGATCAGTTTAGCCATCCTTCTAACTCATGCTATCCTTTAGGGCTCCAGGGTTCAGCCTTCTACTCCTTGTCTAAGATCAGAAAGGCCAACGGCCTATTGGAAATGCATGCTGTATAAGCTAAAATTCTACCCCAGGAAGAGGGCACAAAGGGGGTCGAGCATTATCCTATCTAAGCCCTTAATCAAAGACCCAAGGTCCTTGCTGCTTACGGGGTACTGATCAACTCTCATCTGCAAATAGAATAATCATATGCACCCTCAAAGGAGAGCGCCAAGACAATGAGACCCTGTTTCAAAAGAGGTGGATGGCATTCATAAGGTTGCACCATGAGGCACACACACACACACACACACACACACACACACACACACACTGACAATGAAGAACCTTATAAACAGAGCATTGGCTTACGCATCTGAGAGTAATTGTTTCCTACCTGTGCTCACCAACAAGCTCCCGCTGTCTGAGAGCAGCTTCAGGAGGTATGCGGTCAGGTCTTGACCAGCTATGTCCAGCTTGGTAGATGACAGTTGCAAAGGATAGCCATCGATGATAGGCACGAAGTATGTCATCCCTTCTCCAGATTCAATAGTTGTTCCTACTCAAGAGATCATTCTGCCATCAGGTGGGGTGCACAGCACCCCTTGTCAATTGTTAGTTCTGTAGGAAGGGATGGTAGAGGGAGCAATAGCAGAAGGGAGGGTGCCAAGGAGCCAGCATCTTCCTAAGGAACATTAACCAGAATGAAGGCTGACTGGCAGGTTTGAATGTAAGCCTGTAGGTTTTGTTGCTAATTGAAACATGCAATTTTACCAATAGCTGCCAAAGAGACAAGAGAGGAAGTGTTGCCTGGGCCTGGGCGGGCACTAGGACTCTCTGGGAGGTGCCCTGTGTTGGGAAAGCCTGAATACCATGCCAGAGGTGTGTGCTTTAGTTAGCAATGTCTCCAAGTGTGCTGGTTCAGAGAGGGTGTGACGTAGTAAGGTCTACTGCATGTGACACAGTAGCTTTTGGGGCAGACTGGGCTCTAGGAATTCTTGGTTCTCTCCTTTTCCTTGTTGAGCCTGAAGACCAAGAACGAACCACTTCAACTAAGCAGAGTTGTGTCCAGGGGACTTTCCCTTCCAGCTGTGACAGGGAACAGAGTTGGTCCTCTCTCGCCTGCAACAGCTGAAAATGACAGAATCTCTTCCCAAGACATCGGCCATCACACACCCACACACCATCCCCGGGAGACGGGAGAGGAACACAGTAGATCATTGTCACTCATGACCACAGACACAAGACTCCAAAGTGAAATTTGGGCAAATTTATTGCAAACCATGTGGGTTTTAAAAGAATTAAATGGCCTTTGTTCCACAGCTCAGGATCAATCCTAATTCACATGATTGCACAATAGGTACCTGCTCCAGCTTCATTTCTGTTGCTTTGATAAAAACACCCTGACAGAAACAGCTTAGGAGAAAAGGGGTTCATTTCAACTTATAATTCTAGGTAATAGTCCACCATATGAGGAAGTTAAGGCAGTGTATCCATGGTCAAAAACAGGGAAGCCAATGCTTGCATGCTGACTTCCTTGCTTGCTTGTTCTCAGTCCATTTCCCCTCTCATACTGTTCAGGATGCCCTGCCTGGAATGGTTCCGCCTGCAGTGGGCTGGGTCTTCCCACATCAGTGAACTTCTTTAAGATAATCCCCACAGACGTGGCCACAGGCAAAGCCAATGCAGACAATCCCCCTTTGGGGCTCTCTTCCCTGGCAATTCTAGGTCACAGCAAGTTATCAACTCTAACAACACTATGCACAAATTGCATTTTGACAAAATCCAGTATTGAGTCCTGATTAAAAGAAGACATTCTCAGTAAATAAGATACAAGAGAACTTACTTAAACTAGCGAAGAAAATGTGAACCCCACGGTTGATGCAGTTTAACACTGAGACTAACGATCTCGCCCTAACTGGGGGAAAGACAACGATTTGTGTCCTCACCGACTCCTCAGAACAGTGAAGCCTAGGCAGGCAGCAGAAAAGAATGAAACAAATTGAAAAACAAACAAACAAAAAAACCACCTGGCTTGGAAATAATAAAATAAATGTTATTTGTCAAAAACATATTTACTCGGCACTGGCCAGACGGCTTGGACAGGTTAAGGTACTTGCTACCAAGCCTCTACAGAATCTATGAAAAATGAGCTTAATTAGAGTATCAAGGTACAAAACCAGTGTATAAAAATCAACTGCTATCTGTGCAATAGCAATGAGCAATCACAAATGAAGAGATGACCTAGTTGGTCAGTGCCTGCAGCACATACATGAGGACCCGAGTTCAAATCCCCAGCATCCACATAAAGGTTGGGGATGGTGGCACATGGCTATAACCCTAGCTCTGGATAACTGAGGTTGGGGGATAGAGACAAGTTGGTCCCTGGGTGCAATGGCCAGTCAGTCGAGCCAATTGGGCGTCTCTAGCCTAGGTTCAGTGAGTCAAGACGCTGTTTTGTTTTTTTTAAAAAAAAAAAAAAGTAATAAAACGGACAGTTCTAAGGAAGGCTTTTGATGTCAACCTCTATCTTCCACATGCACATGGACAAGAACACAGACACACACTTGCATGTACGCACACAGAGCACACAGAAACATGCATGCACACACATTCACTGTGTTAGTCTTTTCATCCTTGTGATAATGACTGGAGAGAAGCCATTTAAAAGGAGGGAGGATTTTTGGCTGATGGTCTATGCATTTGGCCCCAGTGTTGAGAGACTGAACATCGTGGCAGGAGCATGGGCCAGAGGCAGATGCACTCAAGAATGGCAGACAGGAAACAGAGAAAACAAAGATGGGACAGACAGACACTGTAAGGGCCTGCTGCCACAACCTATTCTTACCAACGAGACCCTGTTCTCAGTTCCCATTGCCTCCCAATCACTGAGGAATTGTGAACCCATCAAAAGCAGAGCCCTTGGGATCAGTCACTGCCCGAAACCCACGAGCAACAGCCCCACAATAACTCAAGCCTGCAGGCAACATTTCACCCTCAAACCACAACAGATAAATCTATTTTCAACAGCATCAGAACCTGAGCGATGAAGGGCAGGCACAGTCTAGACACCGCGAGTCCTATCGCAGTGCCAAGAGGGACCGGAGACCTCTCAGACATGCCTTGGTTTCTAGATGCTGCTAAGATTCCGACTCTTTCAAAATCAATCCATGCTTTCAACACAGCCCCAAACAAAACCCAAGGACATGCGGTGCTGAGGGTTTTTTGCTTGGTTGGTTTTTGGTTTCCCTTGTTTTCAGAACTGACAACCTGATTCTAAAATCCTTGCAGGAATGCAGAAGACCTAGCAAAGACCACATCACAAATTTAAGACATTCATACAAATTACCTCATTTCAAGACTCAGTATAAACCACGGTCATCACGGCCATGTGGTATTGGCCTACATAAGGAGAAAAAAAGATGGATGGGATAGGGCCATGAACTGAAAGTCAGCTGGGGTGTTCATGGGAAAGTCTTTTTCAAACACACAGAGGTGTTGTTTCAAGGAAGGAAAAGGAATCTTGTCTCTCTTTTAGTTTACAAAATGTGATTTTTATTACTATTTTCTTAGGGTTTAATAATGGCACAAAATAACAGGTTTCACTGGGACAGCTTCATACTTGCTAGTTTGGTCACGTGGTCCATTCTCTACTTCCTCGTGGCAGCATCCTGGTCCCAAATAGGCCCCTTCTATTTTCTTTTTTAAAAAACTTATTTTTATGTTATATGTATTGGTGTTTTTGCCTCCTCTCCTCTCTCTCCTCTCTCTCTCTCTCTCTCTCTCTCTCTCTCTCTCTCTCTCTCTGTGCGTGTGCATGTGTGTGTGTGTGTGTGTGTGTGTATGTGTGTGTGTGTGTGTGTGTGTGTGTGTATACCACATTCCTACTTGGTGCCCTTTCTTGGAGGCCAGCAGAGGGTGCCAGATCCTTAGGAACTTAAGTTACAAATGGTTATGAGCATCCATGTGGGTGCTGGGAAATGAGCCTAGGTCCTTTGACAGAGCAGCCAGTGTTCTGAACTGTTGAGCCATCTCTCCAGCCCCTACTTTCTTTTCTTAATATTTTTTTCAACATTTGAAAATGTTGTATATTGTGCAATGCTTTTTGATCATGTCTCCCTCCAACTCCCTTACTGGATCATCCCCTCTTCCTCCAACCTCATGTCCTCCACATTTTTGTTGTTGTTATTGATGCTCCTGAGTCTGGGAGTGCTGCCTGTAGGCACGTGGGTGTATGCCTGCACTGAGAGACCAGGGGCCTACTAATATCCCTGCAAATGAGAACGTCTGGAAAGAAGCTGTGCTGAAGAGAATGACTGACTAGAACTTCATTACCAACAAGAGCTTAGAATGTTGCAGGTCCGGAGACTAATTATCTTATCTCAGGTTAGCCTCTGGAACAGCCTTTCCTAGCCTGCCACTGTGGTGAAATTAAGTCCTGTGACTAATAGTTAGGAATTTTTGGAATCTATTAACTTAGAAGACCCACTGGCTTCCACCAACCCAAAAGCTAAGAATGTCGTCAGAGAACGTCTTGGGCCTATAGAAAAGGTTCCTATATCTTGCAGTAACTGCCTCTCTGCTGTAGCCACCAATGTGTTTTAACCTTGCCTTGATCTGACTTTCATTGTTCTAGAAAACAATAAAACATCATGAAGCTGCTTCCACACTGGGAGATGGAATTTGGGGCAACTTAAATCTGTGCTCCTGGGCCATTGTCACTTAAAATGGCTCCATAATAAACTACCTCTTATTCCTTTAAGGTGAGAGCTGTGGTGTATGTGTGTGTGTGTGTGTGCTGTGTGTGTGCTGTGTGTGTATGTGTGTGTGGTGTGTGGTGGTGTGTGTATGTGTGTATGTGGTGTGTGTGTGTGTGTGTGTGTGGTGTGTGTGGTGTGTATATATATGTGTGGTGTGTGTATGTGTGTGTGTGGTGTGTGTGGTATGTGTATGTGTGTATGTGGGGTGTGTGTGTGTGTGTGTGTGTGTGTGTACACCCCAAAGGAGAGTGACCCTCCCTGCCTCAGTGCTCATCCATTGTCCACAGCTAAGAGGAATCTTTTTAACAAACCCCACAGGAGTAACAACACATTTCATTCCTATCTTACACGATACATTAAAAATCCATATTCAAAATGGACCATAGAACAGAATGTTAAACTAAAATCTATGAATGTCTAGAAGAAAGCAGAAAGCCTTTGGGTCCAGCAAATGATTTTGGGTGTGGCACCAAACATGAAAACACTGATAAACGGGACTCTCTTGAAAAGACTGTAGGAAGGTAAGTGGAACCACAAACACAGGACGGACGCTCAGGGCCCCTGCCACGGAAGTAGGAGCACACAAGGGTGTGCTTAGAGCCACCCTGTCACTGAAGGACAATGGATAGTCGACACACACAAACACAGGAGAGTATGCTCAGGGTCCTTGCTCTGAGGGGAGCATATATTAATATCAGGAGGGAACACCACAACACTTCTATGAGAATGCCCACAATAAGAAGACTGGTCATTCCAAGAGCAGGCAGGCAGGATGGTTAGTATCACCAACTTGATAGGATCTAGAATCACCAAGAAGGAGATTCCAGGTTGTATTAACTGGAGAGGGAGGACCCACCCTGAATGCTGGTGGCACCATGCCATGGGCTGGGGTCCTGGGAGGAATACAAAGAGCAATAGCTTTCTCTCTCTGTTTCTTGACTGTGGCTGCAAGGTGGCCAACTGCCTCACGCTCCTGACGCCACGCCTTCCCTGCCATGGCAGACTGTGTCCTCAAACTGTGAGACGAACCATCCCTCCCTTCCTTCAGCTGCTCTGTCAGGAACTTTGTCACTGAGGTGAGAGGGGCAGCTCAGCAGAGCCAGGGGAGAACACAAGAGTCACTATTGCTCCACACGCTGCAGGGAGATCCACTCAAAGCCGTGCAAATATTAGAGGAGTTTCACCAGAACCCCCAAACCAGAAACACCCCAAACTTCCCTCCACAGATACGTAGACAAAAGCTTGGCGCAGTCCCGATGTGGCACCACACTATCGTGGCTCAGCAAGAAGGGAAAGTGAACTATTGAGGCCAGCGAGAGCGTGAAAGAACCTCCACATAGTGAATGGAGAGAAACGGCGACTGACGGCCGCATGCTGGCTGCACAGTGCCATTCACAAAACCCAGAAAATGCAGGCGTCGTCTCAATGGGTGGGAGGGGCAGAATAGCACAATGGCATCCTTGGGTGTGGTTGCAGTGGTTTGCAAGCATACGTGTGCGTTAGAGTTCCTTAATGCTGTTAATTTTGTTTAGTAACGCCTTAGCAAATGGGTTAAGAAAAGAAAATGAGTCAGTATTCTAGAGGTGTTCTGGGGCACCAGGAGAAAGAAGGGAAGGGGTGAGAACAGGAGCCAGGTGTGCGTAAGAAATAATTTATGATGGTCCAATTTCAGAATATGATGTGTTCAGAGCTCACCAGAGGACCACAGGTAAGGATGCTTTAGGTCCCTGTTCTCCCCAGCTAGCAACTGGCAACTGCTCTTTTTTAGTTTATCTTAGGTTGAAAAGTAATAGTCTGACAGGTGACTGAGCTGAGTATCTGGGGCGGGGGGAATCTGGAGTCCCAGGAGGACAGGGATTTGGAGGAAAGGACTAGGCTGGACAAGAGGAAGACTTAATTCCCTGGAGAACCAGCTTTTGGGAAACAAGGGGCAGGGGTGCTTTTGCAATCAGGGACCATAGAGCCACTGTTTGGGGACCAGAGCTGAGATTCATCAGGTGATCCACTACTTCCTGTAGCTCCAGCTCCAGGGGCTCTGCTTCCAGTTTCTGAGGGCACGGGACACACAGACACACACACAGAGAGACACACAGACACACACACACACATTTAAAAAGTAATTCTGAAGAAATAAAAACAAAGACCAGTTTTGCACCAAATCATACCTGCAATTTTGCATTTACTCCAGGCTGATACCCAGCTGTACAAGGTCAGAAAATAAACTGCCTCGCTGTTCACTCCTCTGAGTCTCTGGTGCTCTTATTAAGAAGTGAGGGTCATTGTGAGCTTTGAAGAATGTCCTTCGCTATTTTTAATGAACACTTGTGTGTGCACCTGCACACACGTGTGTGTGTGTGTTTCCTCACATGCATGTATGTATGTGGGGGTCAGAGGACAATCCTCAGGAGTCAGTTCTCTCCTTCTACCATGATTGAACTTGGGTCATTAGGCTTGGCATCTTCACCTACTGACCCATCTTGCCAGCCTCCTCCTACCCTTTTATTTGTCTGGCAGAGGCTGTATGTTGTGGTGAGAATTCCCAGCCTCAAGAACTAGACAGTGTGTCTGGGAAGGATGGGGATCCCACAGGGTCACTCACCAGAGGTTCTGCCAGCAGCGTACATGGAGAGGACCCCTTGATTAGCCATGTACAGAGCGGGGACGTTGAAGGTTTCAAATAGGATCTGGGGAGGAAGATTGGCATGCTGGCTGACCAGGTGGCACACACTGCCCGGGTGCTCATGAGTGCCTCTTGCAACAAGCTGTGAATCCAGGAAAAACTAACCCCAGGATGGCCAACACCTACCTCCAGCTAACTCTGCTGTGAAGTGGCTGTTCTAGTTTCATTCTGCGGCTTAGATAAAAACACTCTGGTCTAAAGCAACTTAGGGGAGGAAGGGGTTTATTTGGTGAATACTTGCTGGTCATGGATCATCACTGAGGGAAGTCAATGATGCATCAGGGAAGGAACACAGGGCAGGAACCACAGAGGAACAATGCTTGCTGGCTCATTCAAAGGCTTACGCTCAAGCTAGCTTTCATATACAGCCCAGGACCACCTGCAGGAACGATGCTGTCCGTAGTGGGCTGGACTCTCCTACATCAGTTAACAATCAAGACAATCTCCCACATACATGCGCAAAGGCTAATCTGATAATGACAACTAATTGAGACTGTATTTCAGGTGGCTCTAGGCTGTGTCAAGCTGACAGTTTTAGACACTTTTTATAATGTAAAGTGAGAAGACTGGTTGGATCAGGACATAGTGGCGAGACCCACCGGGGGTCCCACCTGGCCACTGGACAGTGCCAGCATTGTGAAATGGTTAGTGTAAGATGAGGCCTATGAGTTCAGAGTGTAAGCAGGCTTTGTGGTAAATCTTCCTGTCACTGGGCACTGCAGTCTGACTCCCTAATGAGCGGCTCTTGGACATGCTCTTCCTGCTTGTGCTTGACTGCCAGTCAAATGTCTAGTCTGACTAAGCCCTTGCCTTGTACCAGCATCTGTATCTTGCAACAATTGTACAGAAGATCACTGCTGATCACCTTCATGCCAGCAGGTGCGGTCCTAGAAAGGGCTGCTTGAAACTGGTTCATGGAGCCACTTTGCTGTGACTACACCTGCAAGTATCTGTCTAGGCGAGTGCTATTGAGTCAGGGGCTGCGGAGGGCAGGTGGTTTGTCCAAGGTGGAGGAGAACCCAGGAGGGAATAGCCCCAGCCATGACAGCCAATCATCTGCTTTTCTCATCAGACTAGACTTGAACCTTCATCTCTGTGTGTCTTTGTCCTGCTGGGCTCTGCAGGGAGCACACCCACAGCTCCAGGCAGTAGAGACTGAGCTCCATTACTCAGCCCTGCCTTGGCAGTTCCTCATAGGCCTCCATCTTGGTGCACACACACACACTCTCGCTCCGTGGTCTACTATAGTTGAGGAGTGGACAGGCAGTTGGGTTGGGTCAGTCTCATCCCTCTCTTGTCCCACTCTAGTTTGCTGAAACCCTCATGGCCTTTAGATGCTTTTGGGGGGGGAAGCTAATTACACCCAGTCCTCAGGGGGCGTCAGCTGTGGCCATTTCCATGATCTGACTGTCCACACTGGGGTGGGGGTCAGTGACCAGTTTGGGGCTTGTTGGATATGAGCTCACACATGGGTCTAGGTAGCCTCTGAGATATGCACACGATGCCTTGGCCTTGGGCCTGCATATGGGGGCCTACTCACTGCAGGAGATCCCACTGAGCTCCAGGGATGCCAGCCAGATGCTTGGCCGCCTGTTTAATTAGCTTTCCTGTGTTCTCTATAGAAGCTGAGCCTTAGGAGGAGAACTCTGGCAGCTGGGGAGGGGGACAACTTCCTGCCGTGACTGCACCTAGCCCCACTGCAGCCTGAGGAGGACTCCGCCGTCCATGCTTGGCTGGAGCACTCACAGACAGTGATCCACCCTTAAACTCCATCAGTCCACCACTAACTCCATCATGGCAGGAAGGACCAGGACGAGGCCAGAGGCAGGGAACTTTTAAGTCAGGACAGAACAGCAGCCTCCCTTCCTGCCTCACCTGGCCCCAGACCCCATTACCTGAGTCATTCTACATTTAACGTCTGTGCTGTTTAGCGGTGGCTCTGTTATCATTATAGGGTGCTGCTCGGGGGCGACGTGGAGCACCTGGTAGAAGGAGTGATGCCAAATCTGCAGAGAGAGGACAGAAGGCGGGTTGTTTGCTGTCCAGAAACACGCTGGCTGTTATCTATCATTCATATATTGATCTATGTATCAGATAAATCTATTACCTATCTAAATCATCTTTCTGTCTTCTGTTTACCAACTAGTCTCTCTATAGATATTGTCTACTATCGGCAAATCAATCCCACACCAGTTATGTTTTAAGGGGTTATTTATTTTGGGGGGTAAAACTTACATACACCATAAACCGTCAGGAAGGGAGCCTAGTCGCTGGAGCAGGAGCCGGGAGCAGGAGCCTGGAGCAGGAGCCGGGAGCAAGCACCGGAACCAAGAGAGCCTGATCCGGATCTGCTTCTCTTTTTAAAAGAGAAATATACCACGCCCCAGTGGACTGGTATTTCAGCAGCTATTGGCTGACGGAGCGGAAGTCGCTCCCCGCTGCACTGTGGGCTCATATTTCAGCGACTATTGGTTGAGGCAGCGGAAGTTACTCCCACAACAGTCTACACCTATCTGTTCATCTCACTACCTGTTCATTGTCTATTATCTGTGTGTACCTTCTCTGTCTATTCTGCATCTGCCTGTGTCTGTGTCTGATGTGGGATTCCCCTCTGCATGCTATGAATATGTTTTATTGCCATTGGTTAATAAAGAAGCTGCTTTCAGTCAGTGGCTTAACAGATTATAGCAAGGTTGGAAGAGAGAGAGAGAGAGAGAGAGAGAGAGTAGGTAGAGTCAGAGAGAAGTCATGTAGTCAGAAACAGACGCCGGACACTGGATGGAACCTTACCAGTAGGTCACAACCACACGGCGATACACAGATTAGTAGATATGGATCTGGGGGCCAGGAAATGAACGAGCAGTCTCCGACTACATGTGTCCATCATCAGTCTATCGATCTACCCTCTCTGTCATCTATCATCTATCTACCTACCAATCACTTATCTAACACAGTGGTTATCAACTTTCCTAATGCTGCAACCCTTTACTATAATACCTCATATTCCAGTGACCACCCAACCACAAAATTACTTGGCTGATACATTATAAATGCAATTCTGTTACTATTATGAATCCTAATGTAAATATATGATAGGCAGGATATCTGATATGTAACTCCAAAGGGGTCATGACCCACGGGTTGAGAACCGCTGGCCTAACATCCATCTATCCATGCCTACCATTTACTACTTAGCTACCATCCATCATCCCTATTATCTATCTATTCTATTCCTGCATCCTTCTGACAAATCAGTACAGCTGAGATCCAGATCTGTAGATTTCAAATCTAAAGATTTAGTCAACTAAGAATCAAAAATGTTTGGGGAAAAACGGGGGGCATGGACTGTACCTCAGTTGGGAGAATGTTTCCCTAGCGTTCATAAGGCCCTGGGTTCCATCCCCAGCACTACTTAAACCAGGTGTGGTGGTGCACACCTGAAATCCCAGCACTCAATAGGTGGAGGCAGGAGAGTCAAAAGTTCAAGGCCATCTTCAACTGTATAACAAGTTAGAGGCCACCCTGGGCTATATGAGACCTTATCTAAAAAAAAAAGAAAAAGAAAAGAAAAGAAAAGAAAAGAAAAGAAAAGAAAAAAAGAAAAAAAAAGCTGTTACTTCCTTGTCACTGTTCTGATATTTTTGGTTGTGAGCCTAGCCTCTAACAGCTGAGCCATCTCTCCAACCCTTTGTCACTTGTTCTTTAAGCAATTCAGTGCCCGGTAATTTGTGTGGTGACACTGAGGTTTTGTAGCCCATCTAGAGATGACAGGGAGCATATGAAAGGAATGGCTGGTACCCTGCAAGTACTGCCACTGCACACAGAAATCCAGGGATCTGGGTGTCTAAAACGCTCCTGGACCAGACCCCATAATTCCAAAGGATGGTTGAATTGTAGACAGCACCATCAAAACAAGAAGAAGCAGTGTGATCCAGCCTCCAATGATACACCAGGCCTAAAGTTATGGGATGGGGTTGGCAGGGGCTGGCAGGCCCAGCACTGTCTAAGGGTCTCTTGGGTCTGATGGGTGACAGATACATTAACCAAAACTCAGGGATGAGGTGGAAGCACAGGTGGCTTGGCTGTCACAGAGCAAGCCCAGCAATGATGGAAGTTTGCTACATAAAGTGTAGCGTGTAAGCGAGTGTGAGTGTTACAGCTCTGGTGTTGCAAAGACATCCTCACTTATTGGGAAGCCAGGCTACCTAGAGCTGCAATAGGACAGCTCTGGAGGCTGGAGTCCCAGTAGGACAGCTTATTTAGCCCTGGAGGGAAAGGTGTCCTGACTTGCCGGGAAGCCAGGCTACCTGAAGTTGGTGTGCAGTGGGGGATGGTCTCCCAGCAGAATATAGCAACCCTGCTTCTCTCCTAGAGAGCCTCTACAGCTGAATTCTTCCCTGTTTCCCTAAGGGAACGTCCTAGCAGAGCTGTCTGCTTCTTCTTATTCTGTGATCCAAGATGTTACCTCTTCTGCTACACTCTGCTAAAGGCAAGCCCCTGAAGAAGTGTAGCAATTTCCTCTGGCCACAGCGAAAAGTTGTTACTTTTTTTGCCCAGCCCTTCTCAGCCCCCGCAAGGAAACTTATCAGCAAGTTTTTCTGCTCAGTCCCCTAAGAGCTATTCAAGCAACGTTCTTCTATTCTGCAACAGCAAATGAAGATCTTCCCTCAACACTCTTTTGAGAAAGAGATATATTTGGGAAGGAGGAGTCCAAGAGAGCGACTTCCCCTGCCAGAGTGGTGAAGGACAGCAGCCAACTGATCAGGCAGAGGGGCTTATTATATAGGGCTTCTTAGGGATGGAGTTTTCCCAGGGAAAAGTTTTTCTGTACAGAGATTGGTTAGTTTTCCTTGCTCAGGGATTGGTTAGTTTAGTTGGTCGGACGCAGAGACGGCTCTATTTCAGGGTCAAACTGTGTTTTCTCACTGATCCCTTTTAGCCTGTTGGCTCTAATTCTAAGGCCAGGGCGTTATTTCTTTCACTGACTTTGATTCTAGGGAAAAAATGTGTTTCTTTGGCACTGGTTTCAGAGTCAGAGCATGTTTCTTTGGTCCTGGGTTCAGGGATAAAGTGTTCCTTTCCCTGGCTCAGGTTTCAGTTTCTTTCACTGGCTCCTGGGCTTAGAGTCAGGGTGCTCAGGGATTGGTTGGTTTAACTGACTGGTTTCATATTTCAGTTGGTCAAGGGCAGGGTTGCCTTAGGTTTCAGATCCTAGGTGTGTTTCTTCCACTGTCTCTGGGTTCAGAGCCAGAGTGGGTTTCTTTTACCCTGCGACTACAGGTGCCTGCCCAGGACCATGAAGGTGACCTTAGTTAGCTCCATTGTCATCTATAAAATGGAAGAGACCACCCACCACCTCAGGGAGTGTGGGCCTCAGATGACAGCGTTGCCAGAGAGGATGGCCATTCCTTCCTGTAGTAAGGTTCTGCCCTCTGAGTCAAACTGCCACCAGCTTCATTAGATCAGCTGTGCCTGCTTGTAAAAGTCCGTCAGGTGAATCTCAAAAGGCTAAAAGACACTTAAAGAAATGCTCAACTTCCTTAGCCATCAGAGAAATGCAAATCAAAACAACTCTTGAGATTCCATCTTACACTTGTCAGAATGACCTAGGTCAAAAATACTGATGACAGTTTTTACTGGAGAGAATGTGAGGTAAGGGGAACACTCCTCCACAGCTGGTGGGAGTGCAAGCTGGTACAGCCAGCCGCTTTAGAAATCAGTGTGGCAATTTCTCAGAAAATCAGGAAACAACCTTCCTCAAGACCCGGCAATACCACTTTTGGATATATACCCAAAGGATGATCAAACATACCACAAGGACATATGCTCAACTATGTTCATAGCAGCATTGTTCATAATAGCCAGAACTTGGAAGCAACCTAGATGACTCTCAACTGAAAAATGGATAAAGAAAATGTGGTACATTTACATAATGGCATACTACACAGCAGTAAAAAAATAATGACATCTTGAAATTTGCAGGGAAATGGATAGCTTTAGAAATAATCATATTGAGGTTATGTACTTACTCATAAGTGGTTTTTAGACATAAAGCAAGGAAAAACCATCCTACAGTTCACAACCCCAGAGAACCTAGACAACAAAGAGGACCCAAAGAGAGGCGCATGGTTCTATATAGAAAGGAGAAAAAGGCAAGATCTCCTGAGTAAATTGGGAGTGTGAGGATCATGGGAGATGGTAGAAGGTAAGAGAGAAGGAAAAGAGGAGAGTGGAGAAAAATGTATAGCTCAATAAAAACAATAGAAATAAACTCTGAGCTGGGCTGTGGCAACACACACCTTTAAACCCAGCACTCGGGAGGCAGAGGCAGGTTGATCTCTGTGAGTTTGAGGCCAGTCTGGTCTACAAGAGCTAGTTCCAGGACAAAATCCAAAGCTACAGAGTGGTGTAGGAGTTCCTTCTGTCCATGTGTTGCTTTCATTGCTTAATGAATAAAGAAACTGCTTTGGGCCTGATAGGGCAGAACTTAGGTAGGCGGAGAAGACAGAACTGAATTCTGGGAGGAAGAAAGCAGAGTCAGAGGAGACGCTATGGATCCTCTGCCTGTGATGGACGCTGGTTAGAATCTTTCCCAGTAAGCCACTGCCATGTGGCGATATACAGATTACTAGAAATGGGTTAAATCAGGATGTGAGAGTTAGCCAATAAGAGGCTAGAGCAAATGGGCCAAGCAGTGTTTTAATTAATACAATTTCTGTGTGGTTATTTGGGGTCTAAGCTAGCCGGACAGTTGGGATGAACAAGTGGGCCCTCTCCTTTACAACAACAGAGAAACCCCATCTCAGAAAAAAAAAAAAAAAAAAGTCCGTCAGAACCAGTCTGTGCACTGTTGATGCTCCCTCCTAGGAGAGGATGGGAAAGGTTATTGGATTCTCACCCAGGTATCCAGCCACTCCTTCTACCCATTTATACAACATTCTGCCCTAATTGTCTGTGATCTTGGCTAGGATGGTTTAGGGGCTCCATCCACTCAGCCATCGGTGTAATGGTTATTCTTGGTTGTCAACTTGACTATATCCGGAATTAGCTAAAACCCCAAAATGGCTGGGCACAACTGTGAGGGATTTTTGCTTAGTTATATTTGAAGTAGGAATATATATTTCTGTTCCAGATCTTTTGAGGTGGGAAAACACAGCTCTAATCTGGGTCACACCTTCTGCTGGCAGCCTACAAAAGGATGTGGAAGAAAGCAGCTTAGAGTCAGACTTTCTTTGGACTACCAGCTCCCAAATAATGACATGGAGACATTTTAATTAAAAACAAAGTTGGTCTTAGCTTGTGCTTGTTCCAAATTAGATCTTATAACTTAAATTAACCTGTCTATATTCACCTACATCCTGCCATGTGGCTAGTTACCGCTCCTCAGTATTGTATGACCAGCTTCCTCTGTGTCCTGCTGGCGAATTCTCCATTCCAGATTCTAACCCAAAGTACCTATTCTGCCTGAAAGACCTACCTATTGTCTTCCTGTCTAGCTAACAGCCATTCCTCTCTTTATTAAACTAATCAGAAGGTGCCTAGGCAGGTGAAGTAAGACAGTAATACCTCTTCACAGTCTGATCAAATGTCCTATGACAGAAGCTTTTGTACTTCCTGCTTGCCCTTGCTCTCACTGGCAATAGAGCCTACTTCAGGATTCCAGCATCGACTGAAGACCAACGGAGACATCCAACCTCAGGGACTGAACAACTCCTGAACTCTTGGACCAGTCTGTTCATGGACAGCCATGTTGGATTATCTGGACCACAGCCTTTAAGTCATTCTAATAAATCCCCTTTCTATATATATAGAGAGATTAATTGTCTAATATCTGTTACTCTAGAGAACCCTGACTAATACAGTGGGGAAGCCATCATCCATGACTGAAGACATTAAGTGTGGCTGTTTTGGGTCCCCTATATTCCTTTTAATACCCCTTCCCCTGTGTTATATAAATCAGGCCAGTAAACTCATTGGTTCCCCAGGGTGAACTTTTGTTTGTCCTTCCTTAGAACTTCGAGAGGGGTTGGGCATTCCCACCTAGGCTGCAGGTCTGAGATTGGCTGTGTCACCACTGGCGGCTCTGGAGGCTTGTCTCTTTGGCTTGCTGATGTCATCTTCTCCATCTTCTCACGTGGTCATGCTCTGTAGATCCGTGTTCTGATGTCTTCTTAGACCACAGTCACATGAATTAGGATTCACTGTAGAGGCCTCATTTTAATTTGATTACCATTTTGTTTTTATTTTGAGACAGGGCCTTGCTGTGGGATAATGCTCTTGCATGCTGTAAAAATTTGTTACTAGTATTGTTTTGATAAAATGCTGATTGGCCAGTAGCCAGGCAGGAAGTATAAGCAGGGCAACCAGACTAGAAGAATTCTGGGAAGAGGAAAGTCAGAGACACAGTCACAAGTCAGACTCAGAGGAAGCAAGATGAGAATGCCTTACTGAGAAAAGGTATCAAGCCACATGGCTAAACATAGATATGAATTATTGGTTAATTTAAGTTGTAAGAACTAGTCAGTAATAAGCCTGAGCAATAGACTAAAGAGTTTATAATTACTATAAGCCTCTGTGTGTTTATTTGGGACTGTATGGCTGCGGGATGTAGCAGGATAGAAACTTCCATTTACAGAACCTAGTAGCCTAGGCTGGTCTTGAACCCCCAACTCTCCTGCTTCTGCCACCCTGGATCTGGAATGGTAGATGAGTTCCTCCACACAGTCTAGCTTTAATGGCCTCTGTAAGGCCCTGTCTTGTGCTGGATAGCTCAGTGGGTAAGAACACTTTTGCTCTTGGAGAGAACCTGGATTCAATCCCCAGTAGCTATGTGGTGGCTCACGACCATCTATAACTCCATTTCTAGAGAATTTGATAACCTCTGCTGACCGCCACAGCCATCAGGCATAGCTGGTGCATACACAGACAAGCAAACAAAATAGTCATAAACAAAACAAATAAATGTTAAAAAATTTAAGCCTGATACTAGCTAGTTCTTTGTCAACTTGACACAAGCTAGAGTCATTAGAGGAGAGAACCTCAATTGATAGTCAATTGATAAAATGTCTGCATAAGGTCCAGCTATAGCTGAGTATTGGTGATGCACTCCTTTAATCTCAGCATTTAGGAGGCAGAGGTGGGCGGATCTCTGTGATGCTTTTCTGATAAAGTTGGAATGTAGTAACCACAGCAAGGACCCAAGAAATAGCAACCTCCCTGCGGCAGCTGTAAACTAACCAATTAACTAAAGACTGGTGCCCCCAGCTTGGAAGTACACCAATCCTGAGTCTGTTTCTATGTAGTCTATAGACCCCTAGGCCTCCCTTACTTAACCCCCAATATATACCCTGCCCCACTGCTACTGGGGGTCTCTCCTACTCCATCACTGCATCGAATGCACAAAAGACCCAGGTTTAGTTAGTTAAAAAGCTCGTTGCTTTTGCATTGGATCTTGTTTCTTGGTGATCTTTGGGTGTCCAGACTCCGGGTATAACAGTTTGAAACCAACATCAAGAGCTGTCCACCATGCTGTGTGTGCCTCCTGGCCTGGTAGAGTCAGTCACTATGCTTCATGTACCTTCAGACAGCCCAAGAGATGCTGCACAAGGGTTCCTTCTTGGACATGTCCTGCTGCTGATGGCATGGCCCTTTCTAGTGTGTGTTAGTCTCAGGCCCTCCAGATGTCTAGAAAGGAGTTCAAGCTGGATTATAGAAGGATTTCCAGCAGTTAGACTAAAACCCAGCATGCCTTGGGAACTTGTGAAACTATTCCCGTGTCATTTCCCTTGCCTCATGGCTCTCTAGTGACATGGACATATGGTGGCATACCAAAGCCCCTGCTGGCCTCCAGGTTCCCTCAGTCCCTCCTCACAAATCCTTGTTGGACATTTCAAAGCCTCCAGGATAGCATCCTGGCCCTCCTCACCTCCCAAGGCTTCCCTCCTCCCAGATACCTGTTTGTTCTCTACATAATGGCAATGTTTTTCCCCTTGCCTCTGCTCCTTCTGCTCCCTCTTGCTGTCTCACTATCTCCACTAGCTATTTGCCTCTCTCTTGTGACAGCCCTGTTGTGGAATATTATTTTAAGATGTGTTACATTTGTTTACGCTGTGGAACATTTGTTTAGTAATACAAAGATGTGTTGCATTTGTTTAACTCTGTGGAGCTCTGTTACTTTGTCTGTCTAAAGCACCTGATAAAGAGTTGAACAGTCAATAGTGAGGCAGGAGAAAGGACAGGTGGGCTGGCAGGCAGAGAGAATAAACAGAAGGAGAAATCTGGGAAGAAAGATGAAGGAATGAGAAAAGAAGGGGCCAGCCACCCAGCCAGACAAAGAATAAAAAGGAAAGAAAAGATATACAGAAATAGAGAAAGGTAAAAACCCAGAGGCAAAAGGTTATTTAAGAAAAGATAATTTAAGAAAAGTTGATTAGAAATAAGCCAAGCTAAGGCTGGGCATTTATAAGAAAGACTAAGCCTCCAGGTGCAATTTATTTGGGAGCTGGGTGGTGGACCCACAAAAGAGTGAAAACGAACAGCAACAGCCTTGGCCGTGTCCAGTGTCTCTTTCTGTCTGTTCTGGAGTCTTCCAGATGCCTCTGCACAGCTTCTCTCACTGACTCACAACAAAAGTCCTTCCCCATAACCATACCATGGAGCAGCCATTTTGGCGGTTTCTTTACTACACTGCCATCTGCTCCTTCAGGACCCAAGCTGTGCCCAGATTCCTGATCCACAGAAGCTGTGGTGGTGGAACAAGGCATCATTGTTTCAAATCTCTGGACTTGGAATGACTGGTTATGCTGGGTTCGTGCATTGCTTTATCTGAATTAGGATCCCCCAAATCCCTGTGTGGAAGCCCCGAGACCTCTGAGTGTCACCATCTCTGGAATGTTCTGCAGCGGGTGTCACTGGAGACACTGAGAGGAGCTTATACTGGAACGGTGTGTCCCTGGTCTAATTCAGGTACTACACTAATAAAATGAGGAATTCTGAACCGAACACACACAGGAGGATGCGCTGCGGAGATGGGAGCAATGGCTGAGGTAACACTCTACCAGCGAAGGAGCCCCCAAACATTGTCAGTAAGCCTTCCAGAAACCATGGAGCAGCCTGGGGCAGGCTCTCCCTCACAGCCCTCAGCCCCAGTCCTGTACCAACACTCGGACCTTGATGGTTGTGAGATTTCATTACAGCTGCCTCAAGTGTTCAGATCGTAAACGACACACCCTCAAGCGTAGGTGTCGTGGACAGCTTGTTAGGCCATTCACTGTGTGCTACTACCCTCTGAGGCTAAGGACTTCTCCATCATTCCCTACCAGCCGTGATGGCATAGGAGCAATCATATCATCTTATAGACAAGGAATCTGAGGGCCAAGAGGCCATACCACATGTCCTGGTGGCATGGGCAGTAGGCCGAGGAGGTAGTTCTGGAACAGAAGTCTCCTGACTAGGACTCCTGAGGCGTGACTGTGGAGGACTGAGAGTCTTGATCCTTCCCTCAGGGCTAAGGCAGTGGCTGGGGTTTGATGGCCCCTCCTCTAGCGGCTGTCGCTCACCTTCTCCACATTGTCCCAGTTGGTGATGGCTCCCCGGGTGATGGGGTAGTGCAGGTTCAGCTTTTCTAGGTTATTCCGGGCCTCAGCTCCAATGAACCAGTCTTTTTCTTCCACCCCTACCAGTAGGTTCTGAAAAACACAGGTGGGACAGGACAGCCCTTGGGAGTGGCAGGCTGGAGCTGGACCCACTGTACCAGGCTTTCGTTTGCGGACATGAGCCAGTGCCATGAGGCTGCTAGAAACTGGCACCAATCACTAGTCCAGATGTCAAGGAGGCTCTTCAACCAGGCACGCTTTCCAAAGGGGGCCATTTCCTGCAAGGTCCAGGGCTGCTGAGGGCCACTGTGAGGACACTCACACTGCAGGTGTGGGAACTGAGCCCAGCAGAGAAAAACTGTTGGAGAGAAGGCCTGAGGGCATAGTCTGCGCACTTGGTCTGGAAGGCCTGCGAGAAAAGGGCCTGCAGCATGAGCTGCCCCCTGGGGTTCAGGCAGACGGCCTACTTTCAAGGTGGATTGAATTTACTGTGCTGTCAGAGGAGCCGGGGCATCTACCTCAGTCCACCAAGAAAACGGACATTAGGATTAGAGCCGTGAAGATTTAGTAGGAAAATTGCCTGGTTGAATGAGAAGGGTGAGCAAGGGCAAAGATGGTGAGCCATCAAGCTAGGCTCACATCTGAGTTGGGGCACAGAAAAGAAGCAAACGGAAGGTGGGTGTTTTGGTGTACCTGGAAGGCTGGCTCAGCGAGGTCACGGAGGAATCCCCAAGCCACACTCACTCATCAGAGGAGTCCAGGGTCTTCAGGATAAGCTCAGGCTTAAGCTAGATTGGAGCAATGTACACGAGGCAGTAGTGCGACAGGGAAGAGGGACGAGCGGGTTGGGGGATATGGTACAAGTGTGACAGGACAGTCATAGACCTGGGTAGTGTTGCAAGGCTGACATGCTGCAATGCCCACGTGGGTGCATGGTGTCATCTGCTATCATGCAGCTATGTGGTGATACCACCCTGCAGTGCTATAGTGGTGCATGGTACATGATACAATGGTACCTTGCTGCAGTGGAGCAGCAGAGATGCTATAGGGCTGCATGAGTGTGCATCGTGCCAAGGTGCAACCATGCAGCTGTGTGGCCATACTATGTAGATATATAACTCACATGCTACATAGGTCTGAGTACGACCGAGCATGAAGATTCTGGACTCTCCAGAGTCCCAGGCATCCACTGGGGTTTTCAGAACACACGCACAAATGAGAGGCTCAACTGCACTGTAAATGTGTTTCCCCTCCCCCAGGGGCTGTGGGATGACTTCAGGCACAACCCACATCAAGACCTTCCACTACAAAGGGACACTGCACTTCAGCGGACAGCTGGTGGCTATCAGAATGACAGAGAAGGAGGGATCCACTACCTGTGGGGAGGGGTGTTGCCAATCAAGCTCAGAGGAGGGGTTCCTGAAGTGGGAGGAAAAGGCTGCCAGTGGACCCAGTTGGAACTAGGGGTACTAGAGATGAAGAGAAGCTTCACCCTGAGGCAGCTGCCCGTTAGGAAGGGTGTGGAAGAGTCTGTAACAGGAACGGAAGCTGCTTGTTCGTGTTCTGTAATCTGTCCCTAAGGCCACCTTCTTGAGACATCTAACACAAAGCAGTGAGTATGGAAACCAGGGCATTGGGATCTATGACGTCACGGTAACCAGAGCAGCACTAGAGGCTGGAGGATGAAGCCAGGGTGTCACTCACGTTATGTTTCAGGTTCCCGAGGATGGTGGGAAAGACAGCCCTAGGGGCCTCGGTTCCTGCAAAGCCCACCTTGCTGAAGCCAGAACCGTAGTCACAGATGAGGGGTGTGTGGTCCATCGTGCTGTGGTGACCTGGACACGCCTGCAGGGAGAGACCACATCATCCCTTGTCCCTACGGGTACTGTGCCAACAGCGAGACATGGGCTTCATGTGCCTACAACAAGGTTGGCCTGAGCAGGAGCCTCTCTGCAGGGGCTGGGGTAATTTAGGAACAGAGAGCTGGAATCAGCTGTGCAGCTATCCTGCAGACCTGCAGCCTGGAGCCAGGTTCAGATGCTCCCTCCAGAAAAATGAAGCATTCACAGAAAACTATGTTTGGAGTGCTTAGGGCACAAATCAGTCACAAGAAAACCTGGGCCTGTCTGAATGTGAATCTCTGGGTGGGTCCAGTCTGGTTTGTTCTTGTTTCAACACTAAAGAATAATCTCTAAAACCTCTACTGTGGACAAACTGGAACAGACAAACTGGACAAGGCCAGGCCTCCCTGAGCAGATCACTGTGCATTTGGGTGGGGATGGGGCAACTGGCTTCCTTCCAGCAAGGAAGGATACCACAGGAATTGCTGGGCTACAAAGCCAGGCAGACTCAGGGCTCTGAAGCTGTATATGGCGGATGTTAACAGAGATTCTATGGCAAAAGCCCGGGCCCTGGAAGCCTCAAGAAGCTGGGTTCAGCCACTTGTTTCCAGAACATCATTGTGAAAAGCAGAGAAAGATTTATTCAATGTGGCCATGTTGAGAAGAGAAACAAAGTGACCCAATTGCCCCCAAGTCCCTCTTCTGAGGCCCAGATATGTGGTTCAGGGTTAAGCAGAGGGCAGGAGGTGTGCATTCCTAATCAGTCCTGGTCAGGGTGTGGTCATGCCCGTCACTGACCCATCACTGTCAGCTCCAGGCTCTCCTGCAAGGCGGTCTGACAAGTTCTCAGAACTCTGAGATCTTTCTGGGAGACAGGTTCCCTCTCTGGCTGGCACCAGGCTTCAGTCTTTCCCTACCTCAGCATGAGACCCTTGTGGCAATTCCAATGCCTTGGTCCATTGTTTCAGGAGTCTCACAGCACAACTGATTCTAAAATATCTCCTCCTTGGGCTGAAGAGATTTCTCAGCAATTAAGAGGCTCCAAGCACCTGTACTGACAGCTCACAACCACCTGTAACTTCAGGGGGTCTGGTGCCCTCTTCTGGCCTCCACAGGTATATATGTACATGTGGTACACAGAAATTCATACAGGTGCACATACACATAAATAACCTTTAAAATAACTTCTCTCCTATCCCGAAGGCTACAAGTGGGCAAGGAATGAGGCTGCATTCCCATGTATGTAATTCCCACCTCACCCTGAACCCCAGGAGCTGGAGGGCCCACAGAAGCATCTTGGTCAGCACTGCTGGGCCTCACACAGAATCAAACCAGCTCTGTTTGAGGCTGCTGCACACTGGGTCAGTGTCTCTGTCCCCACAATAGCTGCATACCTCTTCTCTTCTCAGACACCAGGCCACCCAGAGATCCTGTGAGTCTCTAGCTCAGATTCTCACATGGGGGAGTAAAAGTTACATCAACAGGGGTCTGGAGGGATATCACGGCTACCCTTCTGCCTTCTATTTGGAAACCAGAGAACCTGCAGGCTCCCGCTGTGGAAACTCCCTCTTCCTCAGAGAGCAGTAAAAAGAGCGTTACCTGTAGGTCCTAATTTATCTCTCTCTTTAGAGTACACTGCTCTGTCTACTCACATCCTTAACGACTCTTCCAATAAATTCCTTACCCTTCGGTCCAGTTCAGTGTTCCCTGTGAGCCCACATCTGAGACTGTTCAGTCATTTGCTTATTCCCCTTCTGGAGGCCCTGCCACACAGGTGGGAGTAGCTGTATATCATTTTTCACCTTTGGATAGTATTTGTGCTCCACTGTTTAGATACAAGGACATCTCAAAGACACTAAGTTCCTCTCAAAGATATAACAGTAAATCAGAGAAAAGACAGTAATTGGCACTTTGTGGTTTTCCAGGGCTTTAGTGAACCTTTCTTTTTGCTGGTGGGGATCCTGCCTCTGGGCTGACAGTGATAACTGAGCAGGCAGCTGCTGCTGGAGGTTGGAGTGATGGTGGCAATTTCTTAAAAATAAAGACCCCACGCTGCCCAGTTCTTCCTCCATGAGCAATCTCTCCCTAGTGTGTGGCGCCGTGTGATTGCATCTTACCAAAATCAGAACATGGGCTCACTCTGTAGCCCAGGCTAGACTCAAACGAAGAGCAATCCTGACTCTGCCTCCTCCTGAGTGCTGGGATTGCAGGTATGAGCCACTATACCTGGCTAGACTCTCTTTTAAAATTCCCATGTATACCTGTGAAGCCACTGGTCTCAACAGTGTGCTGACAAGACTCAGCAGGGCATTCACAGGGCAACTGCCCCAGGCCACCTTCTCTTCTTATAAGCGCAGACAATCAGCATCATCTTCCAGGCATGCTGGGAGTCTTCTAAAAGAAAGACTACAGTATCCACTCCCACATAACTGCCACCAGCTGCGTCTGCCCTCCCTGGAGAGGCAGAGTGGACTTCAAAGCCAGACACGGCCTCTGCTCTCCATGGTGAACTGAAGTTCCCGGGGTGGGAGGAGAGAAAAAAAAGCCCACACTTGTGTTCAAGATTACACAACACTGTGTTTCTCCATATTCCAAATGCTGTGACCCTTTAATAGAGTTCCTCATGTGGTGACCCCCCAACCATAAAATTATTTTCATTGCTACTTCATCACTGTAATTTTGCTAATGTTATGAATCCTAATTTAAATATCTGCTTTGTAGGCAATCCAATGTGTAGGCCCTGTGGGGTCATGACCTCCAGGCTGAGAACCACTGGAGCAGAACTTCATGACTGTGGAAATTTAGATTGCTACAGACTCAGAGTCAAATTATCCTGGGCTATTGCGAGTCCCATAAGTAGTCATTAATAGAATAGTTATTAATGTCTGTCCTAACTTCCTCGTGACTACAAAGTGAAGGAAACCTTTGAAATACACTAACTTAGCAGATTACCACTTCCACCAACCCCCAAATTAGAATGCAGCCAGGCAGCTTTCAAGGCCTAGAGCAGAGAGTTCTCCACACTCTGTGGCAGAGCCCTTTGCCGAAGTTGCCCACTCCTGGCAGAATGAGCCAGTGAGACCCCATGACAGGAGTTAGGAGTTCCTGTCAGCCTAGGAGGAGGCTTGACTTGGTTTTCAATCATTCACTCATTTCAAATAAACGTTTGTGGCTACGTATGGAGACTCATGCCTTTAAACACCAGCACCAAGGAGGTAGAGACAAGATCTGAATTCAAGCCCAGCCTGGGCTACATAGTGAGTCATCCAGGGCTACATAGAGAGACCCTACCCTAAAATCAAACAAACGAATAAAGTCAAAAAACGAAACAAAACAAAAAGCAACCTGCTCAGGCCGGAGTCACAGGGCTTCCTGCTCTCCGACAAGAAACAAAGTCACAGAGATGATCTGCTTCCATTTCCACCCAGAAAGAAATCTTTCTTTCCCCCAGAGCAGGGTGACGCAAGTAGACAACACAAAACCAGTGACTTTCACTCAGAAAAATCCAGAAACTCGTCAGACCTGGTTCAGGATTCTGGAAACAGCAGACTGGAGGCTAAGGTCTCTTCAAGGTCTGCTTGTTCCCTGGGGATAGCCTGGGCATTTGTGGCCGATCCCAAGTGTGTTTATTCAGGATCGGCTGATCTTGCTTGCTTTCCTAATAAAAAGAAAAAAGATTCCAAGATGCTTAAGAAGTAGAGACATCCAAGCCAACCTGAGAGCCCGACACAGTGACGTAGCCATAGGCACAACCTGCCCTCCATCGGAGAGAGGTCCCACCCCTTGAACCAAACCATGAATTTAGTAGAAAATGGAACTCACCGGGAGACCACAGACTTTCCCCCCCTCCACCCTCCCTCCTGTAAGGACAAGGTCCCTAGGTATTGCAGGCCTTTCCTTGTTGCTGGAACATTTGGACATTGTGACCCAGCTGTGACCTCAGGGCCTCACCCAGGAGGGGACATCAGTCCCTGTTTGAAATGATCTTGCGAGAGAAGCTTTGCAGTTTTACACACCTGTTCCTCACTGTCTGAGTTCGTTCTTGTTTGGGGGTTGTGTGGTCCTCTAGATGTTTGTCTTGCTATAGGACCTCAGGATAAATAAACCAAGGCCTCCATCTGTGATGGCAAGGGATCCAAAAGTCAGAGAGAGACCTGAACTCCTGTAGAGGCGCTGCCCTCAGTCCTGGGCCCCAGGTTGGTGATCCAGGGCATGATGGGAGATCAAAAGGGATACTCTGCTTACAGGGGCAAAGAAGGAATGCAGGGCTTTGACAGGTCCAAGGCAATGTCGGGGAAAGGACCTGGTACATTTGTCATGTGGGGGTGCATCCCAGTATCTCATCTGGAACCACAGTAAAGAGTCCATACTCCACACACAGCATTGCCTAGCATGCTGAGGCCCTGGGTTTCACCATCAGTACCACATACTCCAGCATGGTGGTGAGTACCTGTACCCTCATTCCAGTACTTGGAAGGTAGAGGCAGGAGCTACATAGCAAGTTGGAGGCCAGCCTGGGTTATGTGATATCTCGCAAAATAACAAAAATGATGAATGCTGGGACTCGAAATTGAGCTTCCTCAGGGGCCCTTTGGTGTTGCTTTGACGAGTCAGAACATAGACACACGGGGCCACAATGGACTAGCTTTGGGGTCCAGAGATTTTATTCATGTTTAACTGGACCTGAGATGGCTCAAGGCACTTTGGAAAACACCATTATTTCTTATAGTCCCGTATGACAACGCCTGCAGCGCATCCTGTCCAAGGTTCCGGTTGAGAGAAGCCATAGACACACAGCCAGGATGTCTTGGTTGAGTAGACACCGTTGCTGGAAAACCAGAAGCCAAAGCATGGAAACAGATTGGGACAAACAGAAGGTTTTCCAACAGAACTTTCCAGACTCTGGTTCACGAGTCCCAGAGCCATTGCTAGAAGGACAGGTTATGTCTCACCTCCCCCTGCCTTTGAATCACCCTCCAGTGTAGCAAACCAAACCAACCCACAATAACCTCACCATGTATCAAATCATCTCTGAGGTGTGGGAGCCCAGAAACACTGAGCTGGGTGGTCCCAGCCTGAGCTGTCTTGTGAGGTTATGGAAGGTGGCCCTTGGAGGCTGCCATCTCATCTGAAAACAACAGGGCCAGGGAACCTGCCTCCAAGGCAGTGTTTGGCCCATTGGTGTGGCTGTGGGTGGGAGGCCTCTGCCCATCTGTTGAATGTTCTTGGGATATGATGGTGGCTCCAAGGCCACAGGCTGAAGTATCTTGACCTCCATGCAGATCTGAAAGACGGCTTCCATCTGGTGCTACTGCGGTCTACTGATTACAGGGGTCAGTGCTATTCTGGGGCAGGGGAGCCCTTTGGATCACAGGGTTGCCTCCAAGGGGGTCTTGAGGTGCCATTTTGGAGGCTGATGCAGAAGAGTCCAGAGCAAGGAGACTTAGGAAGGCCCACTGAGAGGAGAGGCTTGCCATCAGGACTGGAGTTCTAGGAACTGCAATCTGGTTACCTTCCACTGCCTGAGAGAGTAGGATAGAGATCAGGGCCTCCCACTTTCTCAAAGTTCCTTCCTGGCTGACTCCTGGCCTAGCAAGACCCTGGGAGAATTCTCAGCCAAGGTGCTGGAGCCAGGCAGCATGGTTGCAAAACAGAACTACGGCAAGAACAGCTGATGCAGGGGAGTTGGAAGGCATCAGAAACAGATATCTCAGTGCCCTAGATGTGGTATCTGTGACCTCTGGCTCACAACCTGCCTGTCTGCCAGACTGCCAGGGAAGGCAGAAGTCTGGGCTTCTCAGAAAACAAAATTATTCAAGACAAAGCCAGGAGCAAGACAGCTTCCCATTAACAAACACCTGCGGTTTGTGGAGACTGAGGGGGAAACTGGATGGAAGCTGCCATCCCTGAGCCTCTAAGGGCAAGAACAAGGGGCCTCTGTGTATGGCTTAAATCATCCTTTTTTCATGTGTGTGTGGAGGGGGCGACCACTTCAGGTATTGATCCTCACCTTCATCTTGTTTGAGACAGGGTTCCCTACTGTCTGCCCCATGCTTCTGGCTCCCATTTTGACATGAACCTAGGATTATAAATGCTCAAATTGGCTTTTTATTAATGAGGATTCAGGTCCTCAAGTTTACACAGCAAGCAGTTTGCCCACCGAACCTGGAGTTCGCCAGTTCAGCTAGGCTGGCCCGCCAGGGAGCCTCAGAACCCACTCGTCTCTCATCTTCCTGGTGGATTACCAGCTCACATTACCACACTCGGCTTTTTTAGGAGGGTTCTAAAAACCAAACTCAGTCCTCACGGCTGTATAACGAGCACTTTACCTACTGAGCCATTTCCCCAATCCTTAAATGCAATTCTTTTAAAAATATTTTAGGCCAGGGGCTGAAGAAACAGCTCAATGGTTAAGAGCACTGGCCCCTCTTTGAGAGGGCTGGAGTTCAGTTCCCAGAACCTATGTGGCAGCTCACAACTGTCTCCAGTTTCAGTGGTGGATGGATCCAGTTTCCTCTTCTGGACTCTGGGCACCATCCACTCAGTGCTCTTATGTACTGTGGTAGTAATTGGCCCCCATAATCTCATAGGGAGTGGCACCATTAGGCAGTGTGGCTTTGGTGGAATAGGTATAACCTTGCTGGAGGAAGTGTGTCACTGTGGGGGCAGGCTTTGAGGTTTCCTGTGCTCAGGATACTGCCCAGTGTCTCAGTTGATTTCCTGTTTCCCCGCACAATGTTAGCACTCTCAGCTCCAGTGCGTCTGCCTTCATGCCACCCTGCTCTCCAGCATGATGATAAGGGACTGAACCTCTGAAAATGTGAGCCACCCCAATTAAATGTTTTCTTTGTAAGAGTTGCTGTGGCCATGGTGTCTCTTCACAGCAATAAAAATCCTAAGACACATATCATGTATTGGCAAAACACTCACACACATAAAAATAATAAACCTAAAAAACACTTTTAAAAGCATTTCTAATCCAGAAGCTAGGCAAGCATGAGAGTATACACCTGTGATTTTGTGCACTCTGCCCCAAGTCTCCGGGCCCATCCCTTGCAGTGGGGCTGGAATGAAAACACCTACCGTTAAACCTGGTCTCAGCTACCAGCCAGGAACATTTTTCAGGGCAAGCTGCTTCAATCCCCTTATCCTATAGACTCATTTGAGTAACCCAATGTTGTCACAGGTCTGTGTAACCAAGAGCTCACCCAGTAACACGGGTGTGTTACTCTGCTGTGAAATTGTGTTCTGAGGGTCTGTTAGAAACAAGTCTGGAGGTGTCCTCACCCCGTCACTGGAGACAGCAGAGTAGACCCTGCTTTTATCTCAAGGGACACAGGACAAACGACCACTCCAGCCACTGTGATCAGGCTCATGGCTTTTAACACTCAACGTGTCTGGGTCTGTCGGATGCCTGATGGGGTGTGAGGAGACTGTCGGGGGGTTCCGTCCAGAGCACAGTTCAGCTGGTCCCACATTGGACGTACCATGAAAAGCCTGGTTTGAGGCCCTGCTGAGAACTGTAGCTGAGGAGTGGCAGGGGCTGACACGGCTTAGGTCCTGGGCTCTGTGGCTTCCTTGTCTTCATTTCAGAGAGGAAAGTGTGGGCTTCATCTGCTGACAGCAGGATAGGCAGGACAGACAGGTCCACAGCGGACAGTGCTCTGGGAGCAGCAGCCCACGGCCCAGCAGTCTTTAAGCACCAGATGTGAAGGCACCACGCACCAAAGCCCCAAACCACAGCTGGGCTCCCTGTACAACTAGAACCATAGTCAACTGACAAGCACTACCGACATTCGAACCCAGGCCTCCTGTCATAACAGCTTGAAACCTTTCTCCAGCAATAAGGAAGACTGAACTCTGACCTTTAGCCCACACAAATGAGGATGTTGAGGCTGCGAGAGGGTGGGTTACCTACTCAAGGCTTTAAAGCCTTCAGAAGGCAGAGCCGGAGTTCCCATGTGAACAGTGGGACCTGGTATCTAAGTTTACAGCCACCACACCCCAGCCTCCAGTTAGGACTTTGTTCAAGGGACAAATGAGAGTGCCAATGTGTGGCCAATAGAGATGCCTGAAACCCCTGTGTCCACATTCTCAGACAGGCCAGGAGAGCACCAAGTCAGCCTGGTGGGATCTCCAGCTCTCTCTCCAGGAACAGCTGCCAACGTTCAACCAGCTCTAACCGGAAGCAGACCCACTGTGCCCGGGCTGTGGGCACTACTCATCTCTACTTCTCCAGAAACAAAGGTGCAGGCTCAGCTGTGTGGCTCCCCCACTTGTTTGGAGCAGGTAACCATGCTGGCATCCTGTCACTGGCAAATGGAATGGATTCCTCACCCCAACAAGCAAATGATTCAGCAAAGTTCTGGATTGATGAGGGATTAGAGAGTATTGGGGCACAGTTCACCCCAATGTCAATGAAGCTTTGATAGTACTCTATGCACCAGCTCTAATATTTCCTGGGGTTCCATCCTATATCATATAACACCCGTACCCCCACCCCTGAACTGGTCAGACTCATTCAGGAGACAGCACAGTGTGACACATTTAAAAAGGCAGATTTAATACAAAGAATTATCCGCAAGGCAAAGAGGATCCTATCTAGTTTTACAGAATGCCCTGAGTTTGGGGGGCCAGTGTCCCTAAT